TGTCCAAGGACTGTGCTAACCAAGGCAACCTTCAATGTGCTAACTACCATGCAACCTTCAATGTGCTAACTACCATGCTACTTTTGTCACGAGGCTCAACCTGTGGATGCTCTGCCAAAAGGTTTTGGCTTCCATGTCAGTGGGGCAATGAATCCACTCTGGATCTGAATTTATATTTTTCAGGAGCTATCCAAGGTTCTGAAGCCAACCTTCTCAATAGGCCCAGCCCTTTGGACATCTCCTTTAAAGTCTGGACTAAAACCTGGGGTGGGTGCAATACCTCAGTGTCATGGGGTGCACATCTACACTGTAGAACCGATGAAGTTTAGCTGTACTTTAACTTCCATGGCTCAGTGCTGTGGAATTATGGGAGTTGTCTCTGTACAAGATCATCAACCTTCTCTACCAAAGAACACTGGTGCCTCACCAACTAGAGATCCCAGTATTTGATAGTACTGAAGCATGGCAATTGAAGTGGTGTCAAACTACATTCATTCTACAATGTAGATGTAGCTATGGAAGCCATCAGACAACAGCGGCTCTTACAGATGTTTTCTACAACACCCAAAAAACTAATAGAAGGAGAAGAAAGGAACATATTTCTATATCAGAATCAGAACTTTTGACTTTTGGAGACCTTTCATATCAGAGAATACTGGGAGTCAGAGTTGGAAAAAAACGTTTTCTGAGATCCCAAAAAGAATAGTCACCAGATTGGATCCATACGTTCTCCAGAAAGTCCCAAACACTGCAGTGTCTCCAAAACACATACATGCACCATGTAGCACAAAAGGACCTGCTATGACAACCTTTCTGACCTCTAGAATGCCTCTTTCTTGGCTCTCCAATGAGTCCAAAGAATATGACCTAAACCACCATGACCCTCCTCCATTCTATAGGAAAGCTCTGCCTCAAAGGCAGAGACGGAGCTCATTCAGGTACCTGTTTCATCCCAGGGAAACACCTCTTCCATGCTGGCTCTAGGAGGTGGCTGCTTCTAGGCTGGAACACGCTCCGGCCGACTGATGGCGGGAGGACAGGTTTTGCCAGGAGAATTGGGCAGGATATAATTAAGCAAGATGGAATTTGGCACGAGCAGCACAGGTGACACCTCAGAGCCAAATGCCGCTGTGTCATTGGATAAGTAATCCAAGCAATATGTTTCTTTTTGATGTTGGGATCCCAGAAGTGTGCGAGGATTTGTGTTTGTGGGGTGGGGCACATACACGGCAACACCTTTTTGACAGCAGTGCCCCAAAATGGGTAGAATAGGTAAAGTGGGGTATAAATCCACCCCTGATTCCAAAGGCAACTCCAACATATAGAATATAAGTGGAACGTGCACAAAGGGAAGAGGACACTTATAGGGTATTGATTTAATGCAGTTTGAGAACAATTTAACTGCTATGGCTCAATGCTATGGATTCATGGGAGTTGTAGTTTGACAAGGTCTTTAGTCATCCCTGCCAGGCAAGGAAACACAACAAAAACACTCCTGAAAGATGCCCAACCAGTATCTGTATGCGTGTATGTGTATGTGTGTGTGTGTATCTATATAAATAAAAATGTTATGTTCGTTTGTGGGATTAACATAAATCAAAAACCACTGGACCAATTGACACCAAATTTGGACACAATAAACCTATCAGGTCAATGAGTGACCTTCACTCATAAAAACACTGAAAAACACAGCAGAAGGGGCTTAAAAAGCCAAAAAACCCTAAAAATTACATTACAACACATGCAGAAAATCACATATATATGCACACATATACACAAGTATACACACACACATATATACACACAAAACACATATACACAAACTGGGCCACAGCAACGTGTGGCAGGGGACGGCTAGTGTGTGTGTGTGTGTATATATATATATATCTCCAAGAGGGATACATCTCCACTGAAAATTGAATGCAGTTTAATAATAATAATAATAATAATAATAATAATAATAATAATAATAATGTTTATTTATACCCCGCCACCATCTCCTCAAAGGGGACTTGGGGTGGCTAACATGAGGCCAAGCCCGAAGATACAAAATGAAATACAAAATAGCAACAATTATATCACAAAAGAATACATAAATTAACAAAATAAGAGAAACAGTGCAAAATAACATAAAATAACATAATAAAAGTAGAAATTCAGTTTGACACCCATTCCACTGCTATGGCTCTGTACTATGGAATCCTGGGAGTTGTAGTTTCACAAGGTCTTTTGCCTTCCCTGTCAGGCAAGGAGAGACAACAAAAGCACTCCTGAAAAATGCCCACACAGTGTTGGTATGTGTGCGCGCGCGTGTGTGTATATGTGTATATGTGTGTGTATATGTATGTGTGTGTGTGGGTGGGTATACACACACACACACACACACACACACACATTCTCCAAGAGGGATGCATCTTCACTGAAAAATGAATGCAGTTTGACACCACTTCCACTGCCATGACTCAGTGATATGGAATCCTGAGAGTTGTAGTTTCCCAAGGTCTTTTGCCTTCCCTGTCAGGCAAGGAAACATAACAAAAGCACTCCTGAAAAATGCCCACCCTGTCTCTCTTTCTCTCTCTGTGTGTGTGTTTATGTGTATATATATATATATATGTGTGTGTGTGTGTATTCTCCAAGAGGGATGCATCTTCACTGAAAAATGAATGCAGTTTGACACCACTTCCACTGCCATGACTCAGTGATATGGAATCCTGAGAGTTGTAGTTTCCCAAGGTCTTTTGCCTTCTTTCCCCAAGAATGCTGGTACTTGCCCAAACTACAACTCCCAGGAAGAATATTACAACCCACTATCTGGGCTGCCACAACATACAAGGCAGCTTCCTTCAGTTTTAAGCAGAGCTTGGGGGACGTTGGCTTTGATGGACTACAGCTCCCAACAAAATATCAACTGAGGGATTCTGGGTGCTGCCATCCAAGGAAATCCTTGGTTCATAGCCCCCAAGAATGACGTTTTCCAAACTATGTTTTCCTATACTCCTATGATGTTGACGGGATCTCTCATAGCAACAACAAAACAACAAAGAATGCACCGCAATGATACAACACCTGGTAGGGATGTGGCTACAAGAGCGGGACAAAGCGAGGGCGTTGCCCACCCTCATCAAAATTCAGATCCTCCCATGAAATTCCCCTTCACACCCAAATTTGTAGCATTGCAGTGACTTAAAATGTGAAACGAGTGTTTTGAAATGGGAATTTAGGCACTCAAAGAACAAAGTGACCCAGGGAATTCGAACACAAGGAAATACAAGCGTTCCAGAAGTTTTCAGCATCTCACTCCCATAAATGTTTGAAATTTGGAAAATCTGGAGGGCTGAATATGTATTTTAGAGGAAAATGTTTGCATTTTGCCCTTCCATATAACGCAATACTGATTTCCAGGATTTGTTCCTCAGTTTGTGTCCTCTGTTAACTGATGGAAACGACGTGAATTTTGTAATGATTTCTTAAGCAAGGGATAATCAGAAGTGGTTTAGGGTGGCAACCTGTGCTGGATGGGGTTGCACTCCCCCTGAAGCCACAGGCCCATAGCTTGGGTGTCCTCCTAGATTCATCGCTAATGCTTGACCTCTCATCGGCCTTCGATACTGTCGACCACGGTATCCTTCTGGGATGCCTCGTGGGAATGGGCCTCGGAGTTACTGCCGTGCAGTGGCTCCAGTCATTCCTCAAGGGTCATTTCCAGAAGGTGTTATTAGGGGACTCCTGCTCGACTCCATGGCCATTGTACTGTGGGGTCCCGCAGGGTTCAGTACTGTCCCCTATGTTATTCAACATATACATGAAGCCATTGGGAGAGATCATCCGGAGTTTTGGGGTGCAGTGTCATCTGTATGCAGATGATGTCCAACTCTGTCACTCCTTCCCAGCTGCTACTAAGGACGGTTTGGGACCAGCTTACCTGCGTGACCGCATTTCCATCTACGAACCAACACGCTCACTTCGGTCATCTGGAGAGGCCCTGCTCGTGATCCCACCTGCGCCGCAAGCGCGCTTGGTGGGGACGCGGGTCAGGGCCTTTTCCGTGGTGGCCCCCAGACTCTGGAACACCCTCCCCAAAGACCTTAGACAGGCCCCACACTGGCAGTCTTCAGAAAGAACTTGAAGACTTGGCTTTTCCGATGCGCCTTCCCAGATTAGGAAATCTCCACTACCAAGTCCCATAAGCACCTTATCAGAACCAATGACTGCTGCACATCGCACTTGCCCTAGAAGCCTCATATACACCTCCTGTCACATCAGCACTTTTAATTCTTGTACCCATTACTTTGGCCTGGCCCAGTTTTTATTGTGTTTTAGTGTATTGCTTTTGCCTGTTGTTTATTTGCTTTATCCTGTTTTTAATTGTTTGATTTGCCTAGTTTGTATTGCTATGTTGTGTGTTGAGGCCTCGGCCTGTGTAAGCCGCATCGAATCCTTCGGGAGATGCTAGCGGGGTACAAATAAAGTTTAATAATAATAATAATAATAATAATAATAATAATAATAATAAGGAGCTACTAATTCAAGTCCTGAACTGGTGCTTGGCTGCTGTAATGGACTGGGTGAGGGCGAACAAATTGAAACTAAATCCAGACAAGACAAAGGTCCTCCTGGTCAGTCGAAAGGCCGTACAGGGCATAGGGTTACAGCCTGTGCTTGATGAGTTTATAATCCCCCCTGAAGGCACAGGTTTTCAGCTTGGGGGTGATCCTGGACTCATTGCTGAGCCTGGAACCCCAGGTCTCGGCGGTGGTCAGGGGAGTTTGTGCACAATTAAAACTTGTACGCCAGCTGTGCCCGTTCCTTGAGAAGTCTAACTTGGCCACAGTGGCCCACGCTCTGGTTACATCCCGTATAGACTACTGCAATGCTCTCTATGTGGGATTGCCTCTGAAGACTGCCCGGACCCCCAGGTTGAGAAACACTGCTTTAGGATGTTTACCCACCAAAAAAGGTCTGAAATATCCCCCTCGAAATGCACATCACTTGCTTACCGTCTGTGACTGCCACCTCGACGAGAGAGCTTCGTTCCCGGGGGTGTTAGGAGCAACGTGGCATCATACCATTCTGGCTGTTCCTGGGGCTGCGGGAGGAAAGAGAGAAGCGGGTGGCCGAGTGGCACTAAGACATAGCATAATAAACCATGGCAAAAGAGAGAGCAGACCAAGGAGCCAAAAGCCCAGAAGGTGATTCCCTGCCACTTCCTTGGTGTGGCTTCCCACTCGCCGCCTTTCTCTCAGAGTTCCAGCAAGCAACGCCTGCTTGCATTTTTGCAACACCTCGCCTCGCAGCTTCAAAGGCCCTTCCGCAGGCATTGGGTTTGGTGCGTGCCACCCAGGTGGAGCAACCCTCGCTCCCATTGCACAGGTGGGAACATTGAGGCATGTTGTTAGTTTGTGGAGAGGAGGAGGAGGAGGAAAGGACAAGAACTGTGGAACCAAGCTATATCTTTAGAATGGAGCCCAACTGTCATGAAGAAGACCACAGCAAGAGGCAATGAGAAGTGTAGATTAGTGGTATGCTTGAGTTAGAAAGAAAGAAAAATATGCAGAACAGAGTATGGGGAACATTTTGATTGAGGGGACACTGGGAGTTATAGTCCTCGAAAGCAATGTTTCCATGCTCTACCAGGGTGCATCTACTCTGTGGAATGAAAGCAGTTTGATAACAGTTTAACGACTATGCCTCAGGAAGAAGAATATTTATTTATTTACTTATTATTTATTTACAGCTTTTATATTCTGCCCTTCTCACCCCGCAGGGGATTCAGGGCGGATTACAGTGTACACTAGGCTTGGGCGGTTTCGTTCGTTAATTTCGTAATTCGTTATTAATTCGTATTTAAATTAGCTTACAATCCAATATTGAGCCATGCAGGAATAGTGTGAGGAGTAATTAAGATTCGAAACAATTTTTTCAATTTATTTCATAATTATTTCGAACTTATTTCGAACTTATTTTGTAATTATTTCGTAATTATTTCGTAATTATTTTCGCATGTCTGGTGCAAATTTATAGTTGTTTGTTTTATCACACCAACAGTCAACAACAGAGGGAGAGGGAAGCTTCAGAAGTTCCTCCTGGAGGTTTGGAGGTTTTTTTAGCATATTGCGCAATCTCGTCCGCCATTAACGAATCGATTCGTAATTTTACGAAATTTCATAAATTTTGAAATTTTTTAAAGGAAAATTTCAGAATTATTAAAAAAAATGAAACGCAAGGCCCCCCTAAAAACAAAACGAGTTTAGAACCAATTTTTTCTGTGGTTACCCAAGCCTAGTGTACACATATATGGCAAACATTCAATACCAATTTAACATACAACATATACAGACATACACAGAGGCTATTTAACTTTTTCTGGCTGCCAGGGGAGCTGTCGCTTTTCATCGTCCATCTGCGACATTGATGAAGTACTTCCGCATTCCCCGCATGCTTTGCTGGAGTCTTTTTTATGGCCTCATAAACTAGTTAATTTAACCTCCCCACACTTTAAGGTGGTACCTAATTTTCCTACTTGACAGATGCAACTGTCTTTCGGGTTGGAAAGGCGACAACAGGCTACACAATTGGTTGGAAACCCACTCCAACCCGGGCTGGCTTCGAACTCATGACCTTTGGGTCAGAGTGATCTTAATGCAGCTGACACTCAGTCAGCTGCACCGCAATCCCAGTGCTCTTAGTAGCAGATAAGAACCTCTTAGCAGCAGATAGGAAGGATGGGATGGGAAACACAGAGAAAAAGAGTTTATGCAACTGTTCTGGAAACTGTTGCGCAGCTGTGGCGCATCTGGCTGGGAGTTAGCTGCATTAAGATCACTACTGACCAAAAGGTCATGAGTTCGAAGCCAGCCCGGGTCGGACTGAGCTTCTGACCAATTTGTGTAGCTTGCTGTCGACCTTTGCAGCCCGAAAAACAGTTGCATCTGTCAAGTAGGACATCTAGGTACCGCTTATGCAGGGAGGCTAATTTATGACGCCATAAAAATCTCCAGCAAGCATGCAAAGAATGAGGAAGTACTTCATCAGTGTCACAAATGGGCAGTGAAGTGACAGCTCTCCTGGTGGCCAGAATACCCTCATGAAAAAGCTGGAATGTTAAATAGTCTCTATGTGCCTGTCTATATATGTTGTGTGTCTATGGCATTGAAGTTTGCCATGTATATGTACATTGTAATCTGTCCAGGTGAGGAGGGCTGAATATAAATACTGTAAATAAATAAATAAATAAATAAAATATGCTTCAGAGGTAAAAGGAAAGGTACCAGAAAGGGAACAAAGGCCCCTTCTACATTGCACTATACTCTAGGATCTGATCCCAGGTTGACTGCTTCAAACTGGATTATATGAGTCCCCAACTGCCAGATAATCTGGGATAAGCAGATAATTTGGGATCAGATCCTGGGATATAGGGGCCGTGTAGAAGGGGGCCAAAGAAGGTGTCATTGTGATCGAAAAGTTCCCAGTTTTGTTCCTGTTATTTTGGAGAGATCTCCTGAATAAAATCAGAAAGAACATCTTTACATCTTGAATCTTTTCAATCAATCTGGTGCGCTCTGGCACCACGGGATGCAGAGCCAATCTTGAGAAATGTTATTTATTTATCGTGTCAGGAGCAAACCAACAGTTGTATTGAATTTTTAACAAACAAACAAAACACAAAGTTTGTAAGCTTGGTAGTTGATTAAATGTCCTTTGACCAGTATCTGGCCACTTGGAGTGCCTCTGGTGTTGCCGCAAGGAGGTCCTCCCTTGTGCATGTGGCAGGGCTCAGGTTGCATTGCAGCAGGTGGTCAGTGGTCTGCTCTCCTCCACACTCGCATGTTGTGGATTCCACTTTGTGGCCCCATTTCTTGAGGTTGGCTCTGCATCTTGTGTTATCAGAGCACAGTCTGTTCAGCACCTTCCAAGTCGCCCAGTTTTCTGTGTGCCCAGGGGGGAGTCTCTCATTTGGTATCAGCCATTGATTGAGGTTCAGGGTTTTAGCCTGCCACTTTTGGACTCTCGCTTGCTGAGGTGTTCCAGTGAGAAATGGGGCTACAAAGTGGAGTCTATGGCATGTGAGTGTGGAGAAGAACAAACCACTGACCACTTACTACAATGCGGCCTGAGCCCTGCAACGTGCACAATGGAGGACCTTCTCACAGAAACACCAAAGTCACTCCAAATGGCTAGCTTCTGGTCAAAGGACATTTAGCATCATGCCAAGTTTGTAACTGTGTTTGTGTTTTTAAATACATTACAACTGTACCCTCAATTCATTTCTGACATAATAAAGCAACAAACATCAATCTGGATGAGTCCAAGGATGCATCTACACCAGTGGTTCTCAACCTTCCTAATGCCGTGACCCCTTAATACAGTCCCTCATGTTGTGGTGACCCCCAACCATAACATTGTTTTTGTTGCTACATCATAACAGTCATTTTACTACTGTTATAAATCATAATGTAAATATCAGATATGCAAGATGTATTTTCATTCACTGGACCAAACTGGGCACAAATACCCAATGCACCCACATGTAAATGTTAGCGGGGTTGGGGGAGGATTGATTTTGTAATTTGGGAGTTGTAACTGCTGGGATTTATAGTTCACCTATAATCAAAGAGCATTCTGAACTGTACCAGCAATGGATTTGAACCTAATTTGCCATACAGAACTTCTATGACCAACGGAAAACACTGGAAGGGTTTGGTGAGTATTGACCTTGAGTTTGGGAGTTGTAGTTCACCTATATCCAGAGAGCACTGTGGACTCATGCAATGGTGGATCTGGACCAAACTTGGCAGAAATACTCAATATGCACAAATGTGAACACTGGTGGAGCCTGGGGAAAATAGACCTTTACTTTTGGGTGTTGTAGTTGCTGGGATTTATTGTTCATTACAATCAAAGAACATTCTGAACTCCACCAACGATAGAATTGGCTCAAACTTCCCACATGGAATCCCCATGACCATCAGAAAATACTGTGTTTTCTGATGGTCTTGGGCGACCCCTCTGACACCCCTTCATGACCCCCTCAGGGGTCCCGATCCCCAGGTTGAGAAACACTGATCTACACTGTAGAATTAATGCAGTTTGGTACCACTTTAACTGCCACGACTCCATATTATGGCATCCTGGGATTTGTAGTTTGGTGAGGCATCGGCACGCTTGGGCAGAGAAGGCTCAAGACCTTGTGATACGACATCTCCCAGGATTCCATAGCATTGAGCCATGGCAGTTCAAGTGATGTCAAAGTGCATTAATTCTACCCGTGGCGGTAGTTTCTCTTTCCTAACTCCAAGCATCCTTTCATTGCATCATGGCAAGTCTTTCTCCCTTTGCATCAGCCAATAAACTGACTCACGTTTCCTACCTGGGACAAGCCTTTATACAGAGCGGGGGGGGGGGGGGCATCAAAAGGCCTGGGTTCCAACACTCTTTGCCCCTGTTTTAAGAGTTTGACTTTTCCAAGAGCCCCGTGGCTCTGTTCAGACAAGCTCTGGAGGCCATTCCCCTCTGCTTGAGAAACCCAGAGAGCAAACGTTGCAAATATAGGGAATTGTGTTCCCCTCCCATCACCGCCCGGTGTGACTTGCTCATATTATTGGAATGTAGGAAAACAAGGTTGGACTCAGAACAACAGATCCCGCAATGTAAAGCAGAGCGAGCAAAGGACAGCACTGGATTTCTTATGCACGTCCCTCCATACCAGTGGTTCTCAACCTTCCTAATGCCATGACCTCTTAATACAGTTCCTAATGTTATGGTAACCCGCCCCCCCCCCCCCATGAATCGTAATGTAAATAATAATAATAATAATAATAATAATAATAATAATAATAATCTATATAAATAAAATGTAATGTTCATTTGTGGTATTCACAGAACTCAAAAACCACTAGGGGAATTGACACCCAATCTGGACACAATACAACCGACAACCCAATGTATGTCCTTCACTCAAAAATTGATTTTGTCATTTGGGAGTTGTAGTTGCTGGGATTTCTAGTTCACCTGCAATCAAAGGGCATTCTGAACTCCATTAATGATGGAACTGAACCAAACTTGGCACACAGAACTCTCAGGACCAACAGAAAATACTGGAAAGGGTTGAAGCAAACTTGGCACACAGAACTCTCATGACTAACAGAAAATATTAGAAGGGTTTGGTGGGCAGTGTCCTTTGGTTTTGGAGTTGTAGTTCACCTACATCCAGAGATCACTGTGGACTCAAACAATGATGGATCTGGACCAAACTCTACACAAATACTCAATATGCCCAAATGTGAACACTGGTGGAGTCTGGGGAAAATAGATCTTGACATTTGGGAGTTGTAGTTGCTGGGATTTATAGTTCACCCACATCAAAGGGCATTCTAAATTCCATCAATAATGGAACTGAACCAAACTTGGCACACACAAATCTAATGGCCGACAGAAAATACTGGAAAGGGTTTGGAGGGCATTGGCCTTGAGTTTTGAAGTTGTAGTTCACCTCCATCCAGAGAACACGGTGGACTCAAACAATGATGAATCTGAGCCTACAATCAAAGAGCATTCTGAACTCCACCAATGATGAAATTGAACCAAACTTGGCACACAGAACTCCCATGAACAGCAGAAAATACTGGAAGGGTTTGGAGGGCATTGACCTTGAGTTTTGGAATTGTAGTTCACCTACACCCAGAAAGCACTGTGGACTCAAATGATGATGGCTCTGGACCAAACTTGGCACAAATATTCATTATGCCCAAATGTGAACACTGTTGGAGTTTGGAAAAACAGATCTTGACATTTGGGAGTTGCAGTTGCTGGGATTTATAGTTCACCTACGATCACAGCAGTAGGAGGGCTTTTGGTGGGAGGATTCACCATCTGTTTCCAAAAATGACAGGCAGAGAGATCTTCAGCTTCCTCTATGAAAGGGGTTCCTAAGACTATCAGAAATATGTGTTTTCTGATGGTTTTTGGGGACCCCTTTGAAAACCCCCTTGTGACCTCCCCAGGGGTCCCGACTCCCAGGCTGAGAAGCACTGATCTATACTGTAGAAGGAATGCAATTTTGGATCAGTTTAACTACCGTGACTCAATGCCATGGAATCATGAAAGTTGTGGTTTCATGAGAAGCCAGCACTCTTTGATTGAGAAGGCAAACTATAATTCCCATGACTTCACAGCAATGATAATTAGCAGTTAAAGTGGTGCCAAACTGCATTCACTCTACTGGTATTTTCAGTCCTCTTTTTTCCTTTGCTTGGAGCGAGCCGTGTTTGTGTGTTTCTCTCCAAATCTGGATATCCTCCAGCCATCTCAAACTACTCTGCTCACATCCTCAGCGCTTTCGCAATCTCTGTCACGATGTTTTGGCTCAGCCTGTTGTTCTGAACCAGATATCCGGGGTCAGGCGATGCAAGGAGAGAGAGATCCATGGTGGGATCTCCTGGAGTGGATCTATTTTTAGTGGAATAACAGCTGCGGTGGAGTGGTTACATAGGAATGGGGCAAAGGGTTAGGTAACTCTTTCCCCTCCAGAGTGATTTCCATGAATTGGGAGACATTCCCACTACAAGTAGAACCTCCCTTATCCAGAAATCTGACATGTTTCACAATTGTCCACATAGCTGAGAATGTGAACTCCTTTGCTTTCTGATGGTTCAATGTACACAAACGTGGGTTGTTGTAGACTTTTCGGGCTATATGGCCATGTTCTAGAAGCATTCTCTCCTGTCGTTTTGCCTGCATCTATGGCAAGCATCCTTATAGGTTGTGAGGCATCCTCAGAGGTTGTGAGACCTCACAACCTCTGAGGATGCTTGCCATAGATGCAGGCGAAATGTCAGGAGAGAATGCTTCTAGAACATGGCCATATAATCTGAAAAACCTACAACAACCCAGTGATTCCAGCCATGAAAGCCTTCGACTATACATTACATTGTGAGTACATCTATCTGTCTATCTATCTATCTATCTATCTATCTATCTATCTATCTATCTATCTAAAAGTTTTAGGTCTATTTAAAACATAAATGGGTTTCGTGTAGAACAGTACAGCATGCCAGCAATGAATTTTGGGATATGCTTGAAGGAACTGTCTTACCTCTCATCCCCATTCTCCCAAGGCAACTGGAAACTGTTGCTTCAGGTTAGTGTGTGTGTATGTGTGTGTGTTGGGTTCTGATTCTGTAATGGAACCCTTTGTAATTCCCACAATCCTCTGGGAGAAGCCATGACAGTTTTTTTTCTATGTCAGGAGCTACTTGAGAAAGTCACTTCTGGTGTGAGAGAATTGGCCGTCTGCAAGGACTTTGCCCAGGGGATGCCTGGATGTTTTGATGTTTCACCATCCTGTATTATATGAGTCCCCACTGCCAGATAATCTGGGATTTTTTTCCATGTCAGGAGCAACTTGAGAAACTGCAAGTCGCTTCTGGTGTAAGAGAATTGGCTGTCTGCAAGGACTTTGCCCAGGGGATGCCTGGATGTTTTGATGTTTCACCATCCTGTATTATATGAGTCCCCACTGCCAGATAATCAGGGATTTTTTTTCCATGTCAGGAGCAACTTGAGAAACTCCAAGCAACTTCTGGTGTGAGAGAATTGGCCGTCTGCAAGGACGTTACCTAGGGGATGCCTGGATGTTTTGATGTTTCACCATCCTGGATTATATAAATCCCCACTGCCAGATAATCTGGGATTTTTTTTTCCATGTCAGGAGCAACTTGAGAAACTCCAAGCAACTTGTGAGAGAATTGGCCGTCTGCAAGGACGTTACCTAGGGGATGCCTGGATGTTTTGATGTTTCACCATCCTGTATTATATGAGTCCCCACTGCCAGATAATCTGGGATTTTTTTCCATGTCAGGAGCAACTTGAGAAACTGCAAGTCGCTTCTGGTGTGAGAGAATTGGCCGTCTCCAAGGACGGTGCCCAGGGGACACCTGCATGTTTTGATGTCTTACCATCCTTGTGGGAGGCTTCTCTCATGTCCCTGCATAGGGAACTGGAGCTGACAGAGGGAGCTCACCCGTGCTCTCCCCAAATTCAAATCTGCGACCTGTTGGTCTTCAGTCTTGCTGGCACAAAGGTTTAACCCATTGCACCACTGGGGGCTCCTGCCATGACAGTTACAGAGACTAGAGGCAGGTATTATTATTATTATTATTATTATTATTATTATTATTACTATTATTATTATTATTATTATTACTATTACAGATATGTAACAGATTAGAGAGATGATTGGGCAAAACTAGCAAAATGAAGTTCAGCAGGGACAAATGAAAGATACTCCACTTAGGCACCAAAAAAATGAAATGCAAAGATATGGAATGGGGAACAGTGCCTGGCTCGATAGCAGTACGTGTGGAAAAGATCTTGGAGTCCTCATGGACAACAAGTTAAGCATGAGTCAACAATGTCATGTGGCGGCTAAAAAAGCCAATGGGATTTTGGCCTGTATCAGTAGGAGCCTAGTGCCAAATTCCAAGGAAGTTATGCTACCCATGCTCTATTCTGCCTTGGTCAGACCACACCTGGAATCACACTGTGTCCAATTCTGGGCACCACCATTGAAGGGAAAAGTTGACTCTAAGCTGGAATGTGTCCAGAGGAGGGTGACTAAATGATCAAGGGTCTGGAGAACAAGCCCTATGAGGAGCGGCTTAAGAGCTGGGCATGTTTAGCCTGCAGAAGAGAAGGCTGAGAGGAGACATGATGAGGGCCAAGATGTGAGGGGAAGTCATAGGGAGGAGGGAGCAAGCTTCCTTTCTGCTGCCCTCGAGACTAGGATGCAATGGAACAATGGCTTCAAATTACAGGAAAGAGAGAGGATTCCATCTGAACATGAGTGTGAGAGGTGTTCAGCAGTGGAACTCTCTGCCTACGAATATGTTGGAGGCTTTTAAGCAGAGGCTGGGTGGCCATCTGTTGGGGTGCTTTGATTGCAATTTTCCTACTTCTTGGCGGAATGGGGTTGGACTAGATGGCCCATAAAGTCTCTTCCAACTCTATGATTCTATTATTATTATTATTATTATTATTATTATTATTATTATTATTAGAAACACAACAAGATGAGTCCACAGCAAACAAGATTACTCTGCTGACTGTTGTATTGAATCACACATCGACACTTCCCAAGTTTGTAGGACTGTGTGATGTATCGGCGAATAATGCATGCAGATCCCAGTAAGGTGGCTTTTGCAGCTGGCAGATGGTAATTTTGTCAGCACTGATTGTGTTTAAGTGCAGGCCAAGGTCTTAAGGCACTGCACCCAGTGTGCCGATCACCATTGGGACCACCTTTACTGGCTTATGCCACAGTCTTTGCAGTTCAATCTTTAAATCCTCAAATGTTGTTGTTGTTGTTGTTGTTGTTTTTATTATTATTATTTTACTGACACCACAGTATGTCACAGCAAATGAGATCTATACGCTGGATTTCGTATCACAAAATCTTAAGTCGAACACTTCCCAAGCTTCTAGGACTGTGTGATGTTTTATTATTATTATTATTATTATTATTATTATTATTATTATTATTAAATATAATCCCATTGAGGATGGAGATGAAACTTCAGACTGGCCTAAAACCACCTTTGCCTCCATCCCAAAAATACTTGTGGATGGATGGCCACATTGGATGAGCATTTGGCACATGCTCAGAGGGATGACCACACTTATCTTTGTTACTTCCCTTGGGATTCTGGGAGTTGTTTCATACCATCTTTAGCCTTCTCCACCAAAGAGGGTTGGTGGTTCTCTAAACTACATCTCCTAGTATCCCATTGCAGTTAAAATGGTATCAAACTGCACTAATTTGACAGTGTAGACAAGCTCTGGATGGACCCTACAGCCTCAGTGTTGATGGTACCCACCTGTGTGCCGAACGACAGGCCCAGGGAGGAATCGTGGCATATGGATGGCGCTCCGGATCAACGGCAGGTGCTCCGTTCGGTCTCAGCAAGCGGCTTTTTCTATTAGGAAAATAGAAATGATTCACAAGAGCCCAAAAGGACTCACTTGTTTGCAGACTCAGAGGATTCTCCTCTCCCTCGCAGGGCAATGACTGCGGCACAGAATGAACTCCCAAGGCATGTGTCAGCAGCATAGGCAGAAATTCACAGCTCAGGTTACAAGCCAGATAAATATAGTGTCTTATCTGACCTCACGGGGGAATGGATGGGGCTCTCTCACATTCCAGCATCGGGGTGGCTTAAAGGGGAAGCGGAGTCAGAGGCCTAACCAGGCATGTTTATGGTTTTGTGCGGAGTGGGTCAGGAGAAACCACCCACATTGGAGAGAATTTGGAAAAGTTCGCTCTTCTTTTTCGGCAATGGCTTGACGAAATTATGCTGTTGCGTGCCTTCAAGTTGTTCGGACTTAAGGCAACCCTAAAGCGATCCCATCACAGGGTTTCCTTGGTGAGACATATCCAGAGAGTGTGACTCACCAAGTCTATGTAGATGATCGTGCCATTACTGCTCAAGCAGGGAGCTTTGAGATGGCTGAACAGAAGCTCTCCGAAGCTCTATGTGCTCTTACTGCCTATTACCGGGAAAACCAGCTGATCCCTAATCCATCTAAAACACAGACATGTGCTTTTCATCTCAAGAACAGACAAGCATCCTGAGCTCTGAGGATCATCTGGGAAGGAATCCCACTGGAGCATTGCAGCGCACCCAAATACCTGGGAGTCACTCTGGACCATGCTCTGACCTACAAGAAGCACTGCTTGAACATCAAGCAAAAAGTAGGTGCTGGAAACAATATCATACGCAAGCTGACTGGCACAACCTGGGGATCACAGCCAGACACAGTGAAAACATCTGCCCTTGCGCTATGCTACTCTGCTGCTGAGTACGCATGCCCAGTGTGGAACACATCTCACCATGCTAAAACAGTAGACGTGGCTCTTAATGAGACATGCCGCATTATCACGGGGTGTCTGTGCCCTACACCACTGGAGAAATTACACTGCTTAGCCGATACTGCACCACCTGACATCCACCGGGAAGTAGCAGCCAATAGTGAAAGGACCAAGACAGAGACATCTCCAGCTCATCCCTTGTTTGAGTATCAGCCAGCACGTCAATGACTTAAATTTAGAAATAGTTTTCTAAGATCTACAGAGACACTCGCTGGAACACCTCAGCAAGCAAGAGTCCAAAAGTGGCAGGCTCAAACCTGGAACCTCAACCAATGGCTGATACCAAATGAGAGACTCCCCCCTGGGCACACAGAGGACTGGACGACTTGGAAGGCGCTGAACAGACTGCGCTCTGGCACCACGAGATGCAGAGCCAACCTTCAGAAATGGGGCCACAAAGTGGAATCCACGACATGCGAGTGTGGAGAAGAGCAAACCACTGACCACCTGCTGCAATGCAACCTGAGCCCTGCCACATGCACGATGGAGGACCTCCTTGTGGCAACACCAGAGGCACTCCAAGTGGCCAGATACTGGTCAAAGGACATTTAATCAACTACCAAACTTGCAGATTTTGTTCTTTGTCTGTTTGCTTGTTTTGTTCTATAAGAAATGTAATATAATTGACTGGTTGCCCTGACATGACAAATAAATAAATAAATCATTCCACAGATAAATAAACCTCACTTGCCTAGTTTCCAACTGACCTCACAACCGCTGAGGATGCATGCAATAGATGGGCGTGAAATGTCAGGAGAGAATGCTTCTGGAACATGGTGAGACAGTCCAGAAAACTCACAGCAACCCAACAATCCCTTTAATAAATAAACCAAGTAGGTTTCCACAGCAGAGCATGAATTTGAAGCCTGGCCTCCAGAATCACAACCAACTAAAAAAAATTCCTCTGTTGACTTATGGTGGATTTATGAATTTCATAGGATTTTCTTAGGAAAAGAATACTTGGACTATTTATTTATCGTGCCGGGAGTGAACCAAACAGTTGTATTGCATTAAAAACAAACAAACAAACAAACAAAACACAAAGTTTGCACGCTTGGTAGTTGATTAAATGTCTTTTGACTTGGACTATATACCCCAGAAGCCAGCATAGACATTATGAGTCCAATAAAAGGAACTTCCAGTACTCCAAAAAAGTAACTTTTTCAAACATGGGGGTATTTAAGATGGGCACTGTCAGAGACTCCTATCCATCTGTGCACACATTAGTACAAACCACATGGCAATGGCATTTGACACAGTTTCTAACAGAGGCGTGTCTTCATGGTAGAATTAATGCTTTTTGATACAACTGTAACTGCCATAGCTCAGTGTTATGGAAACCTGAGATTTGTAGTTTGGTGAGGGATTGACATGCTTGGGTAGAGATGGATAAAGACCACGCCAAACTCCAATTCCCAGCGTCCCAAAGCATTGAGCCATGACAGTTCAAGTGGTGTCAAACTGCATCAATTCAACAATGTAGATCAGGTATAGGTAAATCCAGGCCCAAGGGACAGATGCGGCCCCTTGGGCTCTTTTCTCAGGCCCTCCTCTCTTTCACCATCCTATCCTTCCTTCTCTCTTCCCTTCCTCCTTCCCTCCCTCTTTCTCCTTCCCTTTCACCATTTCGCCCTCTTTCCTCCCTCCCTTCCCTCTTTCTCCCTCCTTCTATTTCCTTCCACCCTTTCATGCTTCCATCCTTTTCTCTTTCCTTCCCTTCCTTCCATCCTTCCCTTTCACATTTTTGTCCTTCCTTTCTTTCCTCTTCCCTCCCTCTCTCCTTCTTTCTCCTTCTTTCCTTCCCCTTTGTATTCCCTTCTTACTCTCTATCCTTTATCCTTCCCTCCCTCCCTTCTGTCCGTCCATCCATCCTTCCATCCATCCATCCATCCATCCTTCTTCTTTTTCCTTCTTCCTTCCCTTTTATCTTTCCTTCCTTCTTTCCTCCCTCTTTTCTTTCCCTCTCTCCTTTTCTCCTTCCACCTTTCCTTCCTTCTTTCCTCCCTCTCCCCTTCTTTCTCCTTCCTTCCCTTTTGTCTTTCCTTTCTTTCTTCCCCTTCCTTCTCCTCCTTCCTTCCACCCTTTCATCCTTCTCTCTTTCCTTCCTTCCTTCCTTCTATCCATCCCTTTCCCTTTCTTTTCTCTTCTTTCTTCCCTCTCTCTTCCTCTCCCTCTTTCTCCTTCTTTCCTTCTTCTTTGTCTTTCCTTCTTTCCTTTTACTTTCCCTTTCCTTCCTTCTTTCCTCCCTCTTTCCCTCTCTCCTTTTCTCCTTCCCCCCCCTCCTCTTTCTTCTTTTCTTTCCTTTCTTTTTTCTTTCCTTTCTTTCTTTCTTTCTCTTTCTTTCTTTCTTTCTTTCTTTCTTCCCTTTCTCCTTCTCTTCCTTCCTTCCATCACCAGGCACCAGGCATCCTAGCAAGGAGTACTAACATGTGGCCCCCATGTTAGAAAGTTTGTCCATGTCTGCTGTAGATGCACCCTGACTTTTGAAACTAAGATGATTAATAAGGACTAGAAACTTTAGGGAGGGAAGTAAAAGCAGATTTCTAAAGAACGGTGAATACTAACTTTTCAGCTGGCTTTCATCTTTGACACCTGATACCATCTTGTTTGTTTTTAACAAGCACTTACAAGGCAATGACACCAATTATTATTATTATCTTCCGTGCACTAAATGCTCGTGTTTGCACGGAGCGGATGAGGAAGCACGAAATTGAAGTTTGCTCGACCTTGATTGGATCGCATGGCCTTTAAGTGTTCATCATATCTCTTTTGGCCATCTGCAAAAATGGAAGCATCCGCAACCTGGCTATGTTGTTGTGATGACAAAGGGGAATGAAGGAAACTGGGTCACCCACCTGGACTTTGGGTTAGACGCAAAGCCCAAATTGAAATGAAAAACATCCCTTGCAATTAGGAATACCAGCAACCAAAGGTGTCAGAGAAACACTCAAGACACAAAGCCACTGAAATCCACATGTGGACAATTTCAACAGAAAGGAGGAAACAATGCACATAAACAATATCTGGCTACTAGTATTAAAAAACTCTAAAATCGGGTCAGTAAATAAAAAGCAACACTTAGAAAACAGGGGAATTCCAGTCAGGAAGCAATCAGGACCAGCTAACACCTCCCAACAATGGATCCCTCAGGCAGCAGCCAGCCAAGCTTTGAAGATGCAAAACCATTCAATGCTAATCAAGGTGGCCAATTGCAACATTCACACTTGCCTCAAGCAGACAAGAGTTCTTTCTTCCACCCTGGACATTATTCCACAGATATATAAACCTCACTTGCCTAGTTTCCAATTAACCTCACAACCATGAGGATGTCTGCAATAGATGGGAGTGAAACGTCAGGACAGAATGCTTCTGGAACATGGCGAGACAGTCCAGAAAACTTACAGCAACCCAACAATCCCTTTAATTCGCCTTTAAAGCTACGGATGTAGTTCGGTGAGGAACCCAAACCTTTCGGCACAGAATTATGTGGCGCTCATGCTGCAAATCCCAGGATTCTAGGGAATCGAGCTGTCGCATTACAAGTCTATAACTGTGCCGTGTGAAAGAGACATTATATTGACAGTTCAGATGGGATGGGTAATTTTTTGGATAATATAGATTATTACATTATGTAACAGAAATCAAAAGATATTCTGTTCCTTGTATGGAGGTGTTATTTCTTGTTTAATTGTGCAGTACTTACTGGGAAGTGTCCGATCAAATACAAAAATACTAATCTTGCTATGTATCAACAACAACAATAACAACAACAACAACAACAACAACAACAACAACATTTAAGGCAAGGTGTTATTGAAGGCTGTCACGGGCAGAATCACTGGGTTGCTGTGAGTTTTTCTGGCTGTATGGCCATGTTCCAGCAGCATTCTTTCCTGATGTTTTGCCTGCATCTGTAACAAGCAGCCTCAGAGGTTTGCTCAGAGATCTTTTGGAAATGAGTCAAGTGGCCTGTCCATGGTGGGATAAAAAACTCTTGTCTGTTTAGCCCCTGCCACACAGCTGTATCAAATCCACACTGAACTGGATTATATGGCAGTGTGGACTTCAATAACCCAGTTCAAAGCAGATATTGTGGACTATCTGCCATGATATTCTGGGGTATGTGTGGAAGGGTCCT